TGCTTAGATGCCAGAATCCAGTTATCTACTGAGTTCAGATGTCCAAGAAGAGTTCAAGAGTATGTCCAGAGGCCTGGCTGTTGTAGGAGAAAATATAAATTAGAAATAAGAGAGTTTATTACTCTGTTTCCTGAAAATAAGGGAGAATATTTTGCTCTTCTCTGTTTTCTTAAAGCATTTAGATTATATGTAGATATTTCTCTGCTTTTTTGAAATGTATGTAAATCATATGAACAGCTAAATCCTTTGTTTTTCTTTTTGACTCAGGGTTCATTTCAGTTTTTTTTTTTTTTTTGAGACAGTCTCGCTGGCTGTGTCACCCAGGCTGGAGTGCAGTGGTGCCTTCTTGGCTCACTGCGACCTCCGCCTCGTGGGTTCATGCGATTCTCTTGTTTTAACCTCCCGAGTAGCTGGGACTACAGGTGTATACCACTATGCCCAGCTGATATTTGTATTTTTAGTAGAGATGAGGTTTCACCCTGTTGGCCAGGCTGGTCTCGAACTCCTGACCTCAGGTGTTCCACCCACCTACCTTGACTTCCCAAAGTGCTGGGATTACAGGCCTGAGCCACCGCATCCGTCCAGCAACTTATTTTCTATTCCTGCAGATGCAGTGGTTGTTTCACAAATCACAAAAAACTAAATATAAACACAATAAAAATTCCTTTAAACTACATTGAAATTTTCCTTTCTGTGTCTCTCTCATCTGTCTGTATTTTGTTTTTATTCTGTACATTTTTTAAAAAATCAATGACAGAGAAACAGAAGAAGAAATAAAAATACTGGGTCCTTCATCTAAATCCTGGGAATTACTGAACGTTTAGTGCTAGCTCCCAGGGTGTTATGAGGATTCAATCACATAATGTGTTATTCCCAGTGAAGCACTATGCAACATACTCTTGAGAGTGAGAACACAGTGAACGCAGTGTCAGCTTAATAAACATTGCAGTGTACATGTGTATGTGCTGTTTTCCGAATGCAGACTTATTCAGACATTGCTGCCTTCTGTTTCATCTCTAAACTTTAAAGAGACAGCAAAGAAGATACTTTAGGATGGAGATGGATTGTCTTCATTTGTGTTGTGACAAGAGTGCTGAGTATAAGCTACACTTTGCTGTGCCTGCTTCCTCTAACTAGTGCTAATAATGAGCCTAAGGGGAGCAACATCAGCATTGACAAGGACTTGTTTAAAACACCCATTCATGGACCCTTTCCAAACCTGCAGAATCACATTACATAGAGTGGAACCAAAATCACCAAGTGATTTATAAGCTCGTTAAAGTCTGAGAGGCAATGCTTAGCTAAGTGGTTATCAGCTCAGGCTTCTAATGAGGATTACATGGCCAATTTGCAGAAATCTTTTTACTTGTGCCCTTTCCGCAAGTTCTGTTTAATGTCCTTGGTGGAAGCATCCGTGTTGTTTTAATTATTAGATTGGTGCAAAAGTAATTGTCGTTTTCGCCTTTTTTTGTTTTTGAGATGGATTTTTGCTGTCGCCCAGGCTGGAGTGCAATGGCTCGATCTTGTCTCACTTCAACCTCCGCCTCCTGGGTTCAAGCAATTCTTCTGCCTTAGCCTACCCAGTAGCTGGGATTACAGGCATGCACCACCACATCCTGGTAATTTTTTTTTTTTTTTTTTTTTTTAAGTAGAGACGGGGTTTGGCCATGTTGGTCAGGCTGGTCTTGAACTCCTGACCTCAGGTGATCCACTTGCCTTGGCCTCCCAAAGTGCTGGGATTATAGGCATGAACCACCGCACCTGGTCTGTTTCTGCTGTTAAACAAAACAAAACAAAACAAAAACAACTATTATTATTACTTATTATTTTTGTTTCTTTTTCCTTGCCATTAAAAAGAAATTGGTAGCAACGACAATTACTTTCACACCAACCTAAAGAGTGCCTCAGGTGATTCTAGAGTGAGAACAGAATCAGCTCTGAGGGGTTCAAAATACATTCATAAGAATTAATTTCTGCCTTTGTACTAAAGGGTGGTCACAGGGCCAGTTCTGTTTGAATTTGGTAGGAACAGGACAGTGCAGCCCATATTGCCATTACTGTAGCAGAAATTGCTGGTGTCTGTGGCAAGGGAGGGCACCCGAGGACAGAGAAAGAGAAACTTTATTTTTATCTCTGTGGAGCAGCTCATTGTTCCTGAATCTTTGCTGTTATAAAGAACAGAAATGGGTGGACTTTATCTGTTTTGGACTTTTTCTTGTCATCTGCCTGTGGGTGTGGTGCTAGCAGGTAAACAGGTGGTGCTGACACTTCAAAGGTGACACTTCAAAGATTCAAAAAGTGCTGACACTTCTCAAGATGCAGGTGTAATTTGTCCAGAGAATCTCATCTGAGAAGGAATCCCAGAGAAGGAGGAGAAAAGAGGAAAACATGGCCTTTTTTTTTTCTTAGCTAAACATGTCTCAGATCATGCCCGCTCTTCTTCCTGGAATGCCATGCGTTTAGTACTTGTGAACCTTTGCTTCTCGACTTGCAGTTTTCTTCCCTAATAAGTTTATTTTAACTACTTTAAAAAGTTCTTATGATAGTCAAGGGTCTCTGAAAAATACTCCTTTCCTATATACCAGAGCCTACTGTACTTTCTCTACATCGTGGCTTCTTATATTCCATGCAGAATTCTCACCATGAATTTGCGATGTGCAACATTAAAAATGTTTCCTTTGTGGTTGTGGATACTCAAAATTCCTGTTGGGGAAAAGCTGGTGCCGAGACCAGCTTGGATGGGGAGACCCTAACCCAGCGGCGCTAGAGGAATGAAGACACACCCAGAAATATAGCGGTGTGGAGTGGAAAATCAGGGGTCTCACAGCCTTCACAGCTTAGAGCCTCAAACAGAGATTTACCCATGTATTTATTGACAGCAAGCCAGTGATAAGCATTGTTTCTATAGATTATAGATTAACTAAAAGTATTCCTTATGGGAAATAAAGGGATGGGTTGAAATAAAGGGATGGGTTGGGCTAGTTATCTGCAGCAGGAGCACATCCTTAAGGCACAGATCACTCATGCCATTGTTTGTGATTTAAGAACTCCTTTGAGCGGTTTTCCGCCCTGAGTAAACCCACAGCCTTCCAGCGTGGGTGTCATGGCCATCATGAACATGTCACAGTGCTGCAGAGATTTTGTTTATGGCCAGTTTATGGCCAGATTTTGGGGGGCCTGTTCCCAACAAGCTGGGGTCATTTGTAAATATGGAGAACATGTAATGTTGGGGTTCCATTTGTGTTCTCCATTAGCTCTATGCAAAACAGAATTAACAAAATGCTTATTTAAACAGGATAACATTTATTACCCAAAAAGTTCTAAAAAAAAATTTACTCAGAGATGGCCAAGCATGGTGGCTTATGCCTGTAACCCCAGCACTTTGGGAGGTTGAGGTGGGCAAATCACCTGAGACCAGGAGTTCATGACCAGCCTGGCCAACATGGTGAAACCTCATCTATCCTAAAAATACACAAATTAGCTGAGTGTGGTGGCGCATGCTTGTAGTCCCAGCTACTAGGGAGACTGAGGCAGGAGAATCGCTTGGGCCTGAGAGGCGGAGTTTGTAGTGATCAGAGATTGCATCACTGCACTCCAGCCTGGGCAACAGAGTGAGACTGTATCTCCAAAAAAAATATATTAGGAGAAAATGCTCTCTATGGTGTTAAAGACTACTTAAAATTACTATTAAAAATAACAACATAAGCCAGGTATGTGGCTAACGCCTGTAATCCCATGCACTTTGGGAGGCTGAGGTGGACAGGAGTTCGAGACCAGGCTGGCCAACATGGTGAAACTCCATCTTTACCCAAAAAAAAAAAAAAAAAAAAAAAAACAAAACATCAGCCGGTCATGGTGGCCGGCTCCTGTAATCCCAGGTACTTGGGAGACTGAAGCAGGAGAATCGCTTGAATCAGGGAGACAGAGGTTGCACTGAGCCAAGATTACACCACTGCACTCTAGCCTGGGCAAGGGAACAAAACTGTCTCAAAAACAAAACAAAACAAAACAAAACCACACACACAAAATAACAACGTAAGAGTTATCTGTATCTTAAAGAGGGCATAAAACTCATGTTTATGTATGGTTACATTCAGACTATAATTTGCTTTTGCGAGGGGCAATATTGAAGCAGCGATGCTGTGTTTTTCTGTGTGCCTCAGCACATCATACAAATTTGTGCTAGTTCAGTTGACGTTAGTGATTCGTTTGGTATACCTATGTAACAGAACATGTAACCCAGAACTTATGTATAGTAAAATAAAAGAGCTCCCTGACAGATTTATTTTTCTTACTATAGAGTTATTTTTCTCTTCTTTATTAAGTATCTTTATGCAGCTGATGTGCATAAACCATCACATTTAATCTGGAAGCTGCCCTTCTTTCTTAGGTTTCCTTTGTATATATTTGTCTTTGGAAAATAAAGGCTCTCATCTTTGTTTACAGGCCAGAAAATCTGGGAAAAACACAGGCTCTTCCACTTACTGGATGTTTGACAAAATATTCTTCTTGGGCCAAAAACATTGGCATTACTGGTGAGCTTGTTAAAAATTTGGAAACTCAAACTTTATTCCAGATCCTCTGGAAAGAAAATCTGCATAACAAGATCTCCAGTTTATTATTGTACACATTAAAATTTTAAAGCTAGCTTATAACACAACATTTCTTTCTATCTGAAAAATATACACAGCTCATTCTGTATGATGTAAATATAGCACGCACAAATGTACGTTTGTGTTTGTGTCATTAATTCTATACTTTATTATCTAGAAAAGTATCATATATAAACTGCTATTGTGGATCTTCTGCCACTCTTTTCTCAGAGTTGGAGAATACATTTGAGAATATTTCCGTTTTGAAAATTATTTTATTGGATAATTTTAGTCACTCCTATAAGTGAAAACCAGTTCTCTTTACTTTCCCATTCCACCTTGAGTCAAATTAAAAATTCTGTCCAGGGCAAGTTGGTAAATATGTTTGTGTGTGTGTGTGTTTTTCAGGGACCACTGACATTTAGGGATGTGGCCATAGAATTCTCTCTGGAGGAGTGGCAATGCCTGGACACTTCACAGCAGAATTTGTATAGGAATGTGATGTTAGATAACTACAGAAACCTGGTCTTCCTGGGTGAGGATAATTTTAATACATAATTTAAAGGTTTCATTTCTCCTTTCTGTAGAAGGTTTTTTTTGGAAATTTGTGCTTTGCATAAATAAGTTTTAGATCCCTGTTGCATAAATAAGTTTTAGATCCCTGTTTTCAAGAAAATCCTGGGGATTTGTTCATTTAGAAATGAATCTCTTCAAGATGTTTCATCTTGACCTGAACTTTCCTCATTCCTGAGCTACTCTGTATCCTTCACTCTAGATTAATGATAATTCCAAAAATTTAGTGGCATAAAAGTTGCCTACACCTTAAAATCTAATTGCCACCACCAATGATGCAGTAGTACTGAGTAGTGAAATTAAGAACATAGAAATTTAAAATATTTTCTAAATATTTAGAAATTTATGTTATTAGATATTTTGGGATTAGTTTACTAGAATAATTACATCCTCTTTACTGAGCACATTACTAGGTTGATAATGGGAGAATATGAGCAAGATTCATGTTACTCATTTTTAATAAAACAGGTATTGCTGTCTCCAAGCCAGACCTGATCATTTGTCTGGAGCAAGGAAAAGAGCCCTGCAATATGAAGAGACATGCGATGGTAGCCAAACCCCCAGGTAGGTGAGAGTGACAGTGAATATAACAGATGACACAGATGACAGGTCTAAAGGTCAAGGAGAAAGCCAGTTCTTAAAATGTGATTTGGGCCAGGCGCGGTGGCTCATGTCTGTAATCTCAGCATTTTGGGAGGCGGGGGGATCACGAGGTCAAGAGATTGAGAGCATTCTGACCAACATGGTGAAACCCTGTCTCTACTAAAAATGCAAAAATTAGTTGGGCATGGTGGCATGTGCCTGTAGTTCCAGCTACTCGGAAGGCTGAGGCAGGAAAATCACTTGAACCAGGGAAGTGGAGGTTGCAGTGAGCCAAGATTGTGCCACTGCACTCCAGCCTGGCGACAGAGTGAGACTCCATCTCAAAAAAAAAAAAAAAAAAAGATGTGATTTGGGAAGCTGTGTTCAAAAGAACTTGTTTCTGGGGAGCTGGGTTTTTTTTCTTTTGCTCTCACATAGGAGCATATTCTGTCTATGCTTTTAAATTCTGTAAGGATTCTACTTTCCCTTCAGTGATTTTTCCTTCAAGTTTATGGTGAAAGCTAAAGTCCTCTTCATGGCATATAGGAGACTGCACAATCTTACCGCTTTTCCATTGTTTTTGGGGACACACAGATATCTGCATAATTTTGAGAAACTATGTTAAACTATTTTTCAAGTTCTCTTTTTGCATCGTGTCTGAAATATGTGGGAGTAGTTTCTATTACATTGGGTTTTTCTTAATTTTTCTGCACATAAAATCCTGTTTTTATTACTATGGCCTTGAAATATAGTTTGAAATTATAAAGTATGATGACCTTCTACTTTGTTCTTTTTCCTCAAGATTGCTTGGGCTATTAAAAGTTTATTGTGGTTTCATGTAAATTTTAGGATTGTATTTTCCATTACTGTAAATAAAATACCGTTGCAATTTTGATAGGGAGTTTATTAAATCTGTAGGTCACTTTGGATAAATGACACTTTAACAGTATTTATTCTTTGAATCCATATATGTAAAATATTTGTAAGTTTATTTGTGTCTTAATTTTTTTCATTGATATATCTTTCATTGTGAAGATTTTTTAGGCTGGGTATGGCTGCTCACGTCTGTAATCTCAGCATATTGGGAGGCTGAGGCGGGTGGATCACTTGAGGTCAGGAGTTCGAGATTGGTCTTGCCAACAAGGCAAAACCCCGTCTTTACTAAAAATACAAAAAATAAGCTGGACATAGTGGTGTGCACCAGCTACTTGGGAGGCTGAGGAAGGACAATCGCCTGAACCTGGGAGGCGGAGGTTGCAGTGAGCTGAGATCACCCCACTGCACTTCAGCCTGGGCAACAGAGCAAAACTGTCAAAAAAGATTTTTTACCAGCTTGGTTAAATTTCTTCTCAGAAATTTATGATTTAATGCTACTGTAAATAAGATTGTTTTCTTCCTCTATTTTACCAGATAGTTTAAGTGTATGAAACCATAACATATGTTAATTTTACATTTTGCTAATTTACTCGTGTATTTATTAGTTTATTTATTAGGTTTTCATGTACTAGTTGTGGTTTTTAAAAGATAAGATCATATCATTTACAACAGCAACAGCAACTTTTTACTTATTTGTCCTCAATTTCAATGGCTATTTTTCTTTCTTTCTTTTTTTTCTTTTTTTTTGGAGATGGCGTCTGCTCTGTTGCCCAGCCTGGAGTGCAGTGGTGCGTTCTAGGCTCACTGCAAGCTCCGCCTCCCGGGTTCATGCCATTCTCCTGCCTCAGCTTCCCGAGTAGCTGGGACTACAGGCGCCCACCAGTACGCCTGGCTAGTTTTTTCTATTTTTAGTAGAGACAGGGTTTCATCATGTTAGCCAGAATGGTCTCGATCTTGTGATCCACCCGCCTCGGCCTCCCAAAGTGCTGGGATTATAGGCATGAGCCACCGCGCCCAGCCTCTTTTTTTTTTTTTAAACTAATTCTTCTAATACATACTTCCAGTGCTATGTTAAAATAGAAGCAATTGACAGTGGCACAATATAGTTTTGCATTGGTGTCTGTGAATTTGAAGAAACAAACACCTCTTTAAGTTTTTATAACCCTGGTTTCAGGGGGTAAAGATCTCTTTATGTTGGCCCCCAGAGTGATGGGTTGCCCTCTGGGTTTGTAGTGGAGAGGTAGCTTGCTCACAAGGATACTGGGTCTGCTCTAGGGTCCACCTTTAGTTGGCTGTTACAAGGAGCTTGGGTAGTTGTAATTCCCATTATATTTTTGGACAGACTGAATCTTTCAGGACTTTGCTTTGTGGGGAATACACCAGGGCAGGTTTTTGCAGTTGGGTCTATATATGGTGGGCCTTTTATTAGGATATGGATGAGTCTGGATTTCACTGAGTACCAGAGAGGATTTTCCCAGGTCACTGTGTGGATTTCTATGTAGGCAGAACTGGCCATGAGCTGTAGCTCAGGGAGCTGGAACTGAGTCATTGAACTGCTTCAGGGACCATAGTAAAACCCAAGGTCTGCAGGCCTGTCCACATGGCTATAAATGTGTGTCTTCCTCCAAGCCTCTGGAAGGGCAGGACCTCTCCCAGACTGTGGCTGGGAGGAGTTTGGGATCATTACAGAGGAAGTTCAGAATTCGCAGTGAGACCAAGTTGGGTGGGCCATTTCATGGTCTGCAGCCAAGAACAGGGGTCCTGTAGTTTGCCTCCTGAATGAGGGCCTGCCTCCTGGAAAAAACACTCCTCAATCTTGGACTTTAGAAGAGTTTCATAACTTCCTCCCTGGATCTCAAAGATTCTTTAAAGGAGTTTATTTTGAAGATGGAGTGTTGCTACATAACCCAGGCTGGTCTTAAAATTCCTGCCTGAAGCGATTCTCCAACCTTAATGTACCATGTAGCTGTCCTTACAGGTGTGAGCCATGATGCCTGATTCTCTCATAGAGGCATTTTTGTCAGGGATGGCTGACAAATTTTCTTGTTGTGAGGGGATAAACGAATAGGGCACCTTTTATTTTTGCATCTTACTGATGTCACTCTCCCTATATAGTTTACTTTCTATGTGTTAGTTCAAATTTTTCTGTTATTTTCTTTTTTTTTTTTTTTTTCCCTTTGAGGTAGAAATTTTAGCTCTTGTGTCCCAGACTGGAGTGTAATGCCATGATCTCAGCTCACTGCAACCTCCACTTCCTGGGTTTAAGCGATTCTCCTGCCTCAGCCTCCTGAGTAGCTGGGATTCAGGCACCTGCCATCATGCCCAGTGTACTTTTAGTAGAGACGAGGTTTCACCACGTTGGTCAGGCTGGTTTCAAACTCCTGACCTTGTGATCTGCCTGCCTTGGCCTCCCAAAGTGCTGGGATTACAGGTGTGAGCCACCATGCCTGGCTGATAAATTCTTTTTTAATGGTACATCAATGTTGCATACCATAGTTTACAAGTAAACATTTTCTATTATTGTTGCCATTCCAGATTAGTGTTATTTTATTGTAGGTTTCTTAACATCAGTGTATTGTGTTTTTTGTTTTTTACTTACATGTAATTTTAGACAATTTGCAATTCTGTTTGTATACTTTAAGACAATGTGAGGTTTAATTAAGAGATAAGTTAGTCATGTCTATCACAATCAGATTTTATATATGTGTGTTATTGTCTATAAATATGACCTCAATTTTGGTCATGGCTTATCTTGTATATATTCTTTCTTAGATGATTTTCAATGGTTGTTTCATCTAAGTGAGTAGTCATGGAAATAGTCGTCTTTTCACCATGTGTTTTTAACAATGTATATTTTTGTTGTTGTTGTTGTTTGGTTTTTGTTTTTTTTTTTTGAGATAGAGTCTCACTTTGTCACCCAGGCTGGAGTGCAGTGGCGCAATCTCGGCTCACTGCAAGCTCCGCCTCCCGGATTCACGCCATTCTCCTGCCTCAGCTTCCGGAGTAGCTGGGACTACAGGCACCCACCACCACACTCGGCTAATTTTTTTGTATTTTTAGTAGAGACGAGGTTTCACTGTGTTAGCCAGGATGGTCTTGATCTCCTGACCTCGTGATCTGCCGCCTCGGCCTCCCAAAGTGCTGGGATTACAGGTGTGAGACACCACACCTGGCCTGAATATATGTTTTCCTTATGTAAGAAAAACACTTTTGTTATTTGAAGGTAATTTTTGGAAAGATTTATAATTGTGTATTTTTTCAGTTTTTCTTTTAAAAAACTAATTCTTGTAAAAACACATAACATAAAATTTGCTATCTTAAATCTATTTAAGTGTATGTTTCAGGGCCAGGTATGGTGGGGGCTCACATCTGTAATCTCAGGATTTTGAAAGGCCAAAACAGAAAGATCACTTGAACCCAAATGTTTGAGACCACCCTGGGCAACATATGAAACCCTCTCTACAAATAATTTTTAATAATAGTCAGGCATGGTGGTGTGCACCTATAGTCCCAGCTACTAGAGAGATGGAGAGGGGAGGATAACTTGAGCCTTAGAGTTTGATGTTGCATTGAGCCAAAATTGTGTACTCCAACTTGAATGACAGAGTGAGACCCTGTCGCAAAAAAGAATTTTTAAAAAGCTGTACATTTCAGACATGTAAAGTATATTCACATTGTTATGTTAAAAACTTCTAGAAAATTTATATTTTGTAAAACTGAAACTCAATACCCATTAAGTAACAACTGTTCATTTTACTCTCTTTGGCCCTTGACAAACACCCTTCAACTTCCTGTTTTGATCAGTGTGACTACTATCTCGTATAAGTGGAATCATATAGTATCCATCATTTTGTCACTGGCTTATTTCAGGAGACAATATTCTCAAAGTTTATCTTAAAATGTGACACGATTTTCTTTTTAAGGCTCAATAATATTCCACTGTATGTATATGTTACATTTTTTGATGTCTTCAAGGAACATCTGGGTTGCTTCAGCCTTTTGGGTTTTGTGAATAGTGGTACAACAAACATGAAAGTTCAAATATGTCTTTCAGGTCCTGTGTTGCATGTTTTGGATACAGATTCATAAATGGGATTGTTGTATTT